ACTTCCAGACAGAGCTTATGAAAGTCACGAGGAAGTTCCAGACAGGAAATATGCTTGCAATCTTGAATATTCATATGAATATATCGATAGAAATTCGCCATTAATTATTTAGTGCATAGCGCTTCTTGATGTAATTAATTGTTTAATCTTGTTTTACGCCAGTATAAACACACAAATAAAAGGTTTCAAACTTAGTTTCACAGTCTTATTATAACTGACTAGGTACAGTGCGAGATGTCGGGTTTGTATTCGTTCCTGATGATAAAACGTGAACGCTACTTTTTCGACAGCATATTATAAGTCGAACTAGTTTTGCAAACGCTTTTCTGAATTCTTCATTCCTCATACAGTAAAGTACTGGGTTTATAGCTGAAGAGCTTAAAGCGAGAGTTCGAGCCCAATCATACAGCAATCCAAAGTTCTTTTTAGGTGAAGTGACTCTGAGATAAAACAGAGGTGTCCATGCCACGCTAAACACAAGTATGATGAGGGCTACTGTTACGGCAAGTCTTYTTTCCAAAGCTTGCGAAGCTTKCGMAGCTCTGCTTTGATTTCCAGSCGCTAWATTTGCCCTCTCTTGAGCCTGTTTTCTTATTTTGAAGATTATAAGTACGTAACATGTCGCAAAAATGGCGTACCCAGCTGTAAACATTCCCACTGTTATGTAAGATGTAATTTTCTTGCTCACATAGATTCTTATGACTGTGTAAACGACCGAAGACAGCCAAGCCGCAATAACCATGAGCAAAAATTTCACATAAGTTATAATCGTCGGATAGCTGAAGGGCTTTACAATAGAAACRCATCTATCTATGCTTATAAAGCAAAGAGTTAAAAGTGAAGCTGCGCACGAGACATTTCCTATAAAACGGAATGCCAGTTCGACATTAGGGAAACAGTCTCCATTCATTTTKCCCCATAACATCACAGCTAACAAAGGCTGGCCTGCCGCTGTTATGGTTAAGTCAGCTACAGCAAGACAGCAAATAAAGTAATTTGAAATCCTTTGCAGTTGTGAAGTCGTCAGGACCGCAAAGCACACAAGAAGGTTGYCTATCGTTCCAAGAAGGCTCACAATGATGTTGATCACCAGCATCGAGAGTGCCATGCCATACGGAAGATGGCATAATATCATAATATCACTTGTGTTGTTCATCTTAGAAGAGATGTTGAAAGTTTCATTTTTAATCCGATAYTTGGATGTGGGAYGCGAACGTCTTGATTTAACATTTGTATATGAACTCTGACAGTTTGATARGACTGTAATTATTGCTTTTCAATTAACCAATCAACGCCAAGTAAGGTTATGAGATGTCAMCAAACACAATAGCTATGAGTTCTGTGAGCATAATTTTTACTTTCCATACGGAAAACAGTCAATAAATAACCTCTATATTTGGTAACATATCAAGTTCTATAAATCA